TGACAAGACTAGTGTTTGGAGTCGGGCTCCTGTCTTTTCCAGCCTCCAGAGTTACTCAGCACTCGGCCGGTCTGGAGGAGATGTGCCCTGGGCAGGAAAACTGCCAAGACCGACGGCCCCGCAACAGCTCCCGGGGAGGTGCTGGCTCTCGGCTGAGGGCTGGGCAGGACAACGGTCTCTAGTGTGGCCCTGGGTGCTCAGCTGCCCCGAGGGCCTCAGACACCTGGGGACCCAGCGTCAGAGCCGGGCGGGGGCCAGCTTGTCTCCTGTTGATGTAACTCGCATCTATAAAAATGCACTCTCAGTGTACAGTTCAGCCGTGTGTAGTATATTCACAGAGCTATGCAACCATCACACCAGCTAATTCCAGAATATTTTCTGGGTTTTAATAAGTGGTTCTGATACAGGGTCCGATTTGAGAACCCTGGGCTACATCTGTGCTCCCTCGTGATGTGTTTGAAGATAACCTATGGCACACCCTTCGGGCACATTCCAGCGGGGGGACTGGCAGAGCTATGGCAGCCCTGGTACAGGTCACACGTGAACTTTGGTGGCTGGCGATTTTGCTTCCCAGGGAAGCCCAACCCAGGATGAGACAATGCCCACAGGGTTGGATGCAGCTTGAAGCAGGAGGGGCCAGACCCGCAAGGCTCATCAAAGGGCTCCACTGGGTTGGTTTTTGGAATTGAATTGTTTACTCAAAATAAAATCATTAAAGTTCACTTAACAACCATGGTTATTTCAAACAGAGCAATCTGATGGTTTTATTCAAGTTAGATTGCAAGATGAAAGACCATAACCCACATACAGGGGAGAGATAACTTGTTAAACCTGTTAGCTCATGTGGAGGCCAGGTTGGGAGGGAATTCAACACAAGGCTGTAGGCAAAAGACAAGACATCCCGTTATCATCCCCAAAACAAAGACCTTCCTTCCTCACCGAGTTTCCCAGGGCCCTGTTGTTTTAACAAGCAAGCACAGAGTACAATGCGTTTACACATCACCACGTCGTCTATATACAATGGCCATGGGGTCGGATGGGCCATTTCACGTTCCCCTCCTCCCAGTGTAACATTCCCAAAGGTTTCCCCTCGTTACTGTGTTTTCTAGGCAGGGGCATGACAGTGGTTCCTAGAAGTCCATCTAGGTCAGCATTTACCGAAAGGGATCGAGTCGGCGAGACATAGCAAAGAGGTCCTGCCAGGTAGCTTCCCGGGGAGACTTTCTCCAGCTGAACGCTTTCAGGTGACTGCTTAAAGGGACCCAATTATTTACCGGGTTTGATCTGTATGGCGAGGGCGTCAGTTTAACCCACCGAGCTGCCTCTTCCGTAACCACCGTCTCAGTCTGCCCAGGTGATGCCGGTGCACAGTTCCGGCTCAGCTGTTCCTAGCAGTTCCCAGGTGTCACCTGGATGTGCTGCCTTACTATTTCTAGTGTGCGTGCCTCAGACCCCCTTTTCCTAGTCTAGAACTTTCTGCAGTGTCTTAGGCCTTGTG